ACGGAGACAGAGCTACCAGTGAACACCAACCCCCCAACGAAATCAGAAGTCCTGAAGGCAATCAAGATGCTAAAAGCTGGAAAAGCAGCAGGACCAGATGAAATCCCAGCAGAAGCATTGAAAATGGACCCAGAGACAACAGCGGACTTGATGACGCCACTACTGGAGAAGGTGTGGAAAGAAGGCAAAGTACCCGAGGATTGGAAGAAAGGATACTTATTCAAACTACCAAAGAAAGGAGACTTAAGTCAATGCAAGAACTGGCGCGGAATTATGCTCCTGTCCATCCCAAGCAAAATACTAAGCCGCATCATCCTGGAGAGAATCAAACACGCACCTGGATGAAAAACTTCGACCGGAACAGGCTGGATTCAGGAGAAACAAGTCATGCATTGATCAGATCGCCACATTACGGATCATCATTGAACAAAGCTTGGAATGGCAGTCACCTCTCTACCTCAACTTCATCGACTTTGAAAAGGCCTTCGACAGCGTCGATCGAGAGGTGATTTGGAAACTACTTCGCTACTACGGGGTGCCACCGACAATTATGCATCTCATCCAACAGCTGTACGACAATGCTGCATGCCAAGTAATCCACAACGGGAAACTCACGGAATCCTTCGAAGTGAAGACAGGAGTAAGACAAGCTGGCTGCCTACTATCGCCAATGATTTTCCTGATTGCGGTAGACTGAATAATGTGACAGACAGCGGGCAATGAGGAAACAGGCATAAAATAGACTCACACAAAAAACTTGGAGGATCTGGACTTCGCCGATGATATATGTCTGATTTCCCACAAACTGGAAGATATGCAAGCGAAAAGCAACAAGTTCGCAGAAGAAGCATCCAGAGAAGATAGGACTTCAGGTGAACATAGATAAAACAGAGGTGATGAAGATTCCTGGGCAACACCACCAACAACAACAACAACAGACAACAATCAGCATAAATGGAAAGAACCTGAAAGAAACAACCTCCTTTACCTACCTGGGAAGCATAGTTTCAACTACAGGCGGAGAGCTGACGAGGATATCAAAGCAAGGATCGGGAAAGCAAGACAAGCTTTCATTACTCTCAAGTCTGTGTGGAGGTCAACAGCCCTCAGCATCAAAAATAAGATCCGGATTTTCAACTCCAATGTGAAGTCAGTGCTGCTATACGGATCAGAACTTGCCGTAAAGAGCATCTCAAACAAACTACAGACCTTCATTAACAGTTGTCTTCGCTCAATACTCATGATCAGGTGGCCAGAAAGGATCAGCATCAGGATTCTCTGGCAATGAGCGAACCAACCAGGAACCGATTGTGCATCAAATAAACAGGACGAAATTGAGATGGATTGACCATACTCTGATGAAACCATCAAGTGACATCACTAGACAAGCCATTGCTCGAGTGGAACCCGAAAGGGAAGCGGCGAGTTGGTCGTCAGGGCAAGGGTGACTTGGAGGAGGTCATGTGAAGAGGAGATGAAAGCGTGTGGGCAGACTCTGAGCCAGGTGAAAACTCTAGCAGAGAATCGAACGCAATGGAGACGGCTGAAGCCCTATGTTTTTCTAGGAATTGAAGGAAACAGTATTAATAATAATTACTTTGGCCACTTTTTCCTGTTGTTTGCATGACAGCTGTCTTTCCTGACTATATTTTTCATCTAGGAGAAGTAGAAGTAAATAAAGAATTCCTGAAGTCCCAGTTGAAAACACTAACAGTCGTGAGAAAGTGGATAATTTGATATGAAGTGTTGTGTTGTAACATCAATCAGATGTAATATATAAGTTTGGATTACTCTGTGAGTCAAAGGCAATTTTTGGCTAAATGTAACTCAATTGCTCAAAAGAATAGTGGTCAAAACCAAAGATAATTTAGTACTTTATTTTAATTTGCGTGTGTGTTCTACGACAGCAACACGAAGTACAAAATAGCATGGTTTCCAAGCAAGCCGCTGTTGCATTTCAAACGTCTGGACAGCTTAGGAAGACTGGGCATTTATCACAGGTAGTATGGGGCTATTAGAAGTCACATCTGTTAACTTTCGTCTATGTTAGAACTATAAAGTTCAGGAATTTACTGAAATGTAAGTGTCTGAGACAGAAAATCTGTCTGCGATTGGAGATGAAAGAGACCTATTTGTGTTTTATTACATAAAGGCTACTGGAAAGTAGAACGTTAGAGGTGAATACACCAATATCACATTTCTCTTATTCGTTCATATAACCTATAACTTGTGGCCGTGACTTACGCTTCTCAGCTTGTAGGTGGCGACATATTATGAAGGTAAATACAAAAAGGTACCCCCACAGTATGATGTCATTTCGAAAGTATGTGGACCAACTGTGTAGATTTTTGACGTTACAAGATGTTAGGCTATGTTGTAGAGGTGAATATTATGCTTCATCAGACTATTCGGCCTGTAGAGGACCCAAGAAATTAGTTGGTTCAATTGAACCTCAGCCTTTTAGTCTACACTAATCAATTCACTTGTGCTGATTGAATCACACTGCGGACTATTCGACTTTCAAGGGATAAGTGTGCGTATGCTGCGTTGTGGTGTGACTGCTTATGTCTAACTTCTCTTCACACCATCACTAATAGTGAATACATCCGTGAACGGCCGTAAGTGTTATATCCTACCTTCACTAGTGGGGCGGTGTTAAGTTCAGCCTGGCCACCATGTTCGACGGGCGAGGCTAAAGAGTCTACGGGCAGTGTGGCTTAATCTCAGGTTTCGTGTTGTAAATGGCTACGCAACAACTATCAGTTATTTCTTAACAAAGATAACTGACTGAAGAACTGGCATTCGTTCAAGCGGGCTGGCTAGCTGGCTTCCTGGTGGTAATCAAGTTACTAAAGGCTCTGTTAATGAACATTAAAAAGTAGTTGTTAGGTATGGTTAAACTGTAGAATGGCATCTGCTAATTATAGGATTCGCGCAAGACTCGCCGGATCAAAGCAAAGATACATTCTTCGCCTCAATTCCAACAGGTGTTAACCCTTAGCTGAGATTTTAAAATCCACTATGCTATTTCATCACTCAGATAAAATGAAAATTTGCCTAAGTGATAATGTATTTTGGAATCCAAGTGCGAAATTTTTGTTAACTCTGGATAAAAATTACTGAAATAACTCAAAATTTCCTTTTCTTTCTGAACAAAAAATAGTTTCATGTCAATATACTTCACGTCGAGTGATGTTACAGTGGCTTGTTTCTGATTTCTACTCTATCTGACATCAATATTCAGGTGAGTCAAGTGAGAAATCATGGTCAGAGTGTACGTTTTGAAGAGAGCCAATAAAGCTGTCTGTAATCCAGAGTGGTATCGTCAACCTGTAACAATAACGTGTGGGAAATCTGTAGGATCGTCGATAGAATATTTTTTTATTTTAATTTTTAATATTTTTGATTACAGCTTGATTCCACACCGTATTTTTTGGTAAAAGTATGGAATTTCCAGCATGTGATATCGGTAGCCCAAATTTTGCAGGCCGACCATTGATATCAGGTGTGCGTCGGCAGAGGATCGAACCCCGGACCATGTGCATGGTCGGCGAGAGTCCTAACCGCTGTGCCACCGACGCACAAGCCTCTCACATTCCATTCTCATCTCTTAAGCAGAATATTAATTAAAATCAGTATAAGAACCGGTATTCACATCCTTAAAGCCTGAACATTCTTCATTTAACTGACAAAATAGATATGCTGATGGAATGACTTTCAACCTGAGAAAGTGCAAAGTAGTGAAGTTACGCACCTGTAGACTGCAGAATGCAAGTTACACCCTGTGCAATGAAAGCTTGTCCTGCTCAACGTCGGAACGTGACTTAGGTCTAGTTCTAACGGAGAAAATGGACACAAGCGTGAATTACACGGGGGATGTAGCGAGGGCATATGCGGTCATACACTTTACACATAGACAATTAGGTGCACTCACTCCTGAGCTCTTTCTAAGGTTGTATAAAACATACGTCAGACCGCATCTTGAAGTGCATAATATCATTGCACCCCCACTGCTTAAAAGAGATGCCAACCTCTTGGAAAGAGTCCAACGACGGGCAGCAAAAGGAGTGGTTGGTCTCCGAAATAAACCATATGACGAAAGGCTGAAGAAATTAGGCCTATTCACACTCAGTTACCGTCGCCTGAGGGGGGATTTAATTACTGCCTACAAAATAACAAATGATCAGAATCACCCAAACAAAGGTGTTCTGCCATTGAGTAGGTATAGGCTCCCTCGTGGAAATCCCAGAAGGATAGCTCATCAGAGGGCAAGGACCCGGGTGCGCTCCCACTTCTTTTCCCTGCGGGTTTGCCGTCCCTGGAATTCCTTACCGGCAGATGTAGCTATGGCACCATCTGTGGACGCCTTTAAGCGAAGGCTGGACAACCTTGTAGCGACACAAGGACTGTATCCAAATGGCCTATCCCCTTAAAATCGCATATACCATTCAAAGGTAGACAATTAAACTGGTCGTTTTACTTCTTCACATTCCCTTCAGTCTTACTATCCTGACAGCTTTAACTACACTTATTATTATTATTATATTATTATTATCATTATTACTGGTATATATATATATATGTATACCGGTTGACTGACTGTTGTTACGTTTTCTTATTTTTTTCTCTGTCTGTTAGTCTGAATACCTTTACTAATTATATCTATTATTATTATTATTATCTCTTTTCCATTGACGACGATACCGAAAGACTAACTGGTGAAAGGATCAACTCCATTCACAGTAGTAACAGTCTTAACACACTTCATACTACAGACGCCATATAATTAATCCCAGCACTACTCCTGTTGGAGTCAACCAAAGCTGCGACAGTCGAGTGGCGGGACGAGCTACACAGACGTTTACCAAAGATCAGGAACCTCTACCTCACAATCAAGAGGCGAGCGCAAAGAAATCAAATTGGTTTATACTAGCTCGTAAAAACGATATTGGATATTGGATATTGGAACCTTTGTTTAAACTAATCATTATACCATTTGCCTATGACTACGTTAGGCAGAGTTTCAAAAGTTTAGAAAATCATGGAAATTGATCAAACAAAGTACTTCATTGAAAGTAATTGTTTGTGCATTCAAAAACCTTGTACGTTACTCAGGTGAACAAATTCCCGAGGACGATTCGTTGTCTTCTGTTTTCTCAGTCAAAGTAGAAGATTTGCCAGACATACCCAAAGATGATGAAATTGACCCCTTAATTCAAAGGGTTGGAGAAACTCTGAAGGACTCAGAGGCACAGGTAATAAGTCAATTTAGTCTGATATTCTTTAGAAAAAATGTGAGGCTATATGTCCGAATATTAGTTCGTGTGTCTCACCACCATCTGTGGATGAGTTCTTCCGTACATATTTGCAGGAAAATGGATTTTCAGAAACTCTGAATACATTTCAAGCAGAATGGTTTAGTTATTTTCATTTCTTTGATTTTTAGGTTCAAGCTTTTACATAAGGGTTTACTTAACGAGGAAAATATACCAATGCCAGACGTCTTCATACAAAATGAAGGACTGAGTAACATAGTTAAGAACTTGAGATCCGAAAACACTGACTTGAGAAATTCAGTTATGTAATAGCTTTTGATTTGATGACAAACAACTTACTGTTTTAGAAAACTCAGTGAAGAATTGAGGAAGACTAAAAATGAGAGGGATTATCATGTAATCAAACATCGGCAAATTCTTCAAGATAAGGAAAAGCTACACTCAGACATTAAGAAGTAAGTCTTCAAAGATGATATCCTTAGCCTTGCGTTCTTGTAAAATCACTTAATAAAACTAAGGCTCATGAAATATTGTCAAACATTTTCAGATTTATTGGTTGAGGATAGAAGGCTTGGGGCCTATGTTAATCCTTTTCTAGTACATTTCTGTGGTTGTCCAAACCCTTCTTGAACGAATCAGTTGAGGTTGCAGACACCACTTCTTCTGGAAGTCGGTTCCAAGAGTCTATGACTCGGTGTGAGAACCAGTACTCAACAGCTGTATGACTCCTTCTTGGCTTTTGAACTCTCCTGCTATGTCGTCTAAGGTGTTCCGACCTGGTGGGAAGAAAAGGAGAGAATAGGTCAGGCCCGTAGTCATCATTTAAAATTCTAAACGTTGTAATTAAATTTCCTCTCTGCCTACGGTATGACAGGGAGAAGAGATTTAAACTGCCTAGTATTTTCTTGTATGATAAGTTAGTCATGGCGAGAACCATACGTGTTGCTTTCCTTTGAACCCTTTCTAGAATGTGTGAATCCCCTTTTAGATAAGGACTGGCGGCCGGGATACAGTTTTCCAGTCTTGACCTCACCAGAGATGTAAATAAGGTGGTAAGCATATCTCTGGCGATTCTAGTGAGGGCTCTGCGAATCCCTTATACGAAACTGAAACTACCGCGCCTACATATATATATATATGCCATTGTACTTTTCTTGATGATTCTTCCCAGCATCTTGATTAAAGTGCTGGTGAGACTAATCGGTATGTAATTTGAAGGGCTTTGTCTTGGTCCTCTTTTGTGGATGGGGGTTACTATAGCGTCTTTCCAGTCATGCGGTACCACTACATTTAGGAGAGATAGCTTGAAGATCGTGGTCAAAGGGCGGGCTATGAGAGCTGACAACTCTTTGAGAAGCCTTGGATGAAGATTATCAGGACCTATTGATTTCCCTGCATCTAGTTTAACTAGGCAGTTGAGCACGATTTCTTGGTCGACGTCAATGGAGTCTATCCTATGTCCCTCTGATACAGCCAGAACTGATCCTATGGGGAGTGATGACTGTTGTGTAAATACTTAATCTTCTTCGATTGTGTCATTGTCAATAGTCAGGTTTGGGACATCATTGGATGTTTTATTCCTGAATTTCATGTACGAGAAAATTTTCTTAGTTTGTGCCTTTGCATTTTAGGCCAGATGTGCTTCGAACTTCATCCTTGGTTGGCGGATTTCTGCAGTAGCCTTATTCCTACCGGTGTTGTATAATTTCCTGATCTCAGCAGCCTCAAGTGTGGCAAACAGGTTCCAGCATTTGTATTTACGTCTGAGTAACTTACTAATCTCTCATTTTATCCAAGGGGACAATGTTTCCGACCCTTTGGGACAGACCAAGGAGTGAAAGGTTCAGTTGCTTGACAGTAAAGTTGTTTAAACTGGTTCCATTAGGCTTCTACTTGGGTCTCTGGGTTGATGTACCAGTTCACTGTGTTGGCTGCTGAGACGATCGCATTTATGTCAGCTCTCCAAACGTTTGATCAAGCTAGGGTGTTGGCTCATGATACTGCCGCTGTGAACTTGAAAGTTGGCGCAGGGTGATCACTTCTTCCTTAAGGATGAAGATGTTGTATGAGATCCACATCATCACCATGGGAGAACACTAGGTCTAGAGTTGAAGAGGAGTGCTGTCATAGCGCGTGGGCTTAATGGCATGTTGGACTAGGGCTAGCGAAATGCTAGATTCCAGCAGTTTATGATCAAAGGAGTTGTCTGAAGATGGCGTTGTAAGACCTTTCCAGTTAACTGTTGGGGCGCTGAAGTCGCCGACTACGGGACTTTGACGATTTAATGTTCAGAAGCCTAGCTTCTCTATTAGGAAGTCATCTGCACTGCAGTCAGGACTGCGGTATATAGCAATGAGGTCAATATCTTGGCCTATGCATTTAAGTCTGCAGCGTAGAAGTTCACACAATTCACTTTCATGAGCGAGTGCTTTGATGCTACGCACGGTTAAGCATTTCTTGAGGTAGATGACTACGCCATCTCTTTTGCGGCGTAGTTCAGCAGGTTAACTTCGTTATCAATGGCATCGGGTGTGAGCCATGTCTCTGTGACGATAATTACATCCGGGTTTCCGGAGTCCGTTATATTACCCAGCTCAGTCCATTTGTTCGACAGGCTGCGGGCGTTTGTGTAGCAAACTGTCAACTCAGTTTGGTGCTTCCGCGGCCTACCCACAGAGGTTTCGGGATCATCAAACTTTGATAACCCGAAAAAACCTTTAATCTTAATGTTCTTTTCTCCGTTTCGGCGTCGTTCACTTAATTCTAGAGCCGCAGATTGTCTTTTAACACGGTCTGCTAGGCATAAGTTGGCACGGACTTATATACCTGATCCTTTAAGAGTTAGAGGGTTGCTTAGAATGACATCCCTGTCTTCTTTGGAGTTTAGCACGACTTTGAGAAGGCATACAGGCTGATTTACCGTCGAGTCAGGCTTCTGGCCGATTCTATATAGTCTGTGTATGGTTATGCCTGACACTGTTTTTGGCAGTAGCTTATCTAAGAGGGGCTTGACCAAGTTAAGTTCGTGCTCGAACCTGACGTTGGGATGGGAGGCCGGTGATTCTTCCACTTTATGGAGAATGAGCCACCTGTCAGAGACATCCGGCTTGCTTGCCGTGGCTTTTTTGCTCTCCGGCTTAAGTGTCTTTCTGTTCTTCGTGGACAGTGTGGCCACCACGGCTTCCTTATCTCGCTTTTTGCGAGAGACTTCATTACACCATTCACTGGGGTCCTCTTGCTTACAGTAATCAATTGTGTCTGCCTGCTATCCACCCGTGTGGATGAGGCTTCATCTACAAGTCCCCGGGCGACTTGAGCTGCGAGCTTTTGACCCCTGGTAAGCCTCTTCTTCGTGCCAGTCTTTCTATTACTGTCATTAGAGGGCTTATCTGGTATCATAGGGGCAGCATGGGTGTCTTGAATATGGCTGGTGCTCTTCTGTGCTGAAGGACACTCACTTCCTGACAGATATGCATCAGGAAGGTATATTGTTTTGTCGATGACGCTAGTCACGTCATCGATGTCTGAGCAGTAGTCGCTCTTCTCCTGTGGTGGAAGACCCTTGCAGTCCATGAGCTTTAGAGCCCCACTGAGAGTGGCAATGGCTTCCGTTATACTCAACTTAGTCGTACTACAGCAGTCACTGCACAACCAATTCGCCAGAAGTTTGTAGCAGTGCTTGTATGCTGCAGGAGTTAGGTTTGTGCGCATGCTATGAAACCATCTCTTGAAGTTATCACACTGCATTCCTTCTTCAACTGGAAACTGGCACATAACTCTTCCACAGCGGTTCCTTTTGATAGGCATGCTTTCCAGAGTAAATTAGGACAATAAGATTCAAATATGACCTTATATATATGACCTTTAGAAATCAGTGATAAAAAAGCCGATGACTGCACAAAAATTGATATATATAACTATTAAGAACACAACTTCCTATAATTAAATAGACTCAAAACTGAAACGTAAACTAACTTCGATCAAAATAAACTGATTAAAAGTTAATCTGTAGACTTTTGGAGCGTACAACACAACAAAAGCCAAAACTAAACAAGAGTGTGTAAAATTCACTCCCTTTTTATAGTGAGTGAAAAACCTAAACATCTAATTTAACATCTAAGATATGGATTCTGAGATCCTTCAGTAGATCCAGTAGACTTACTGTCCTATTTGTCATATGTTTCGGAATGTCAACCATTGAAATGCTGTCACTTAAATTGGAACAACTCAAATTTTCGCCAGTGATCTGGATGCGTCACCTACGGGGTTATATTATTAATCTTCACTGAGTTGACGTGCGTGGAGTCATCGCGATCGTGTCATAACTTGAATATTAGTAGGTATAGCACTTCTGTCAAAATAAAAAGTTATATAAGAGATTATGACGAATAATTTTTATGAACGAAACTGGCAGTCATTTCATCCTTTCCACTTCTTGTTCATATATAACATCATTTAAAAATCCAATGACAGAGTAATAATTTACCGCATGTTAGAAGAAGTAGCTCATTTCTGTTGCATTTTGCAGTAAAGCAAAATAAATAAAACGCCCCATTTTGTGTCATTAAACATAACAAAGAGGAAAACTGACTTAGTGGATGTTTTTATGCTTATAAAAGACAATTTAGTAAGTCTTTATAAATTCTATAGTCTTTAATTTATTGGTTTAGAAAATATCTAATAGACTTAAACAAACCCTCCAGCATTTTTCTACAGTCAAGTAAACTTTAGAACTATACTGAACTTCATATTAGTTTGTTTATTAGATGTATCACATAGTTAGTGAAACAGTATTAGTGTTTGTTGGATGACGTTTCGAACATAATTTATTGTTGTTCATAATCATATCAATTATAATCACACGACTTCGAAACTTTAGTTTTATGGTTTTCGCTGTTCTCTCCTATATGTCGTCGTAGGGGTAGTAGAATCTTCCAGATGTCAGGGTGGACAGGTGATGAATCATTCCTACTACACGTATTTGCAGTTGATTCATGAAGTCATTTATGACCAAGAACTTGAACTTAGAAGGGAAGTGCCACTTGAGTACATAGTGCTGGGAGTGCAGCTATGCTTGACTTTCACAGTATTTAAATTCCAAGTAAAAATATACAGACAAACTTAGGGAGTTGCCATAGGGTCACCAATATCCCCGGTTGTGGCAGATATATTCATGGTTAGGTGGGAAAACATAGCGAATGAAACGTTCAGCCCCGCTCCAAAAGTATGGTGCAGGTATGTAGATGACACATTCACTGTACTTTGAACACAGGATATAAACAGATTTTTGGAACACATTAACTCAAACGTGGAGGCAATTCAATTCACTTATGAATTGGAAAGTCAGGAAGGGGAGCTTCCAATGTCAGATTGTAGCGTAAGAAGGAAAGAAGTGGGAAGTTAAACACTAGTGTTTACAGGAAACCGACACATCCAAACAGATATTTAGACTTCC